ACTTGAATGTATGGACGTTGCAATTAAAGTTAAAGGCAATTATTGTGGTTTTGTTCCAGCTGGTCTCACCATTAAAGAAAATGAAGATGTTTTCCACGTGCAGACAGCAACGTTTGAAGATATTAAGTTTTTGGTCGGAAAAGAGGTCTCCATCCGTGGCGGTTTCTCGCCGGAGGCGGCCGCAAATTTTCAGTGTGGTCCGGCCAGCCACCCGGGACCTTGTTTGGTGGATAGATGGAGGGTGGATGATGGATTCTCTTACCCGGTGGTCCATATCTTCCCTCCACTGTTTGAAATTTGTGCAGCCTCAAAAACAGATAAAAGTTTGACAGATTTAGGGCAGAAAGGACAGCCTACTTTTTTGTCAAAAGTTCCCACGGGTGAAAAAAGTACAAAAGGGACCTTTTATAGAAACGAGGACTGTCAAATGCAAAAGCAAGCTCAATCCTATCACAAAAAAGGGATCTTGAAAAAACACTCCGATCTGACAGCTCTAAACACGGTTCCCCAACCAAGGAAAGTGGCTTTTACAAAAGGACAAAAGGGTTCCCCATCCTTCCAAAAAGGTATAGTCTTTTCAACTGAAGAGGAAAGGCATCAGAAGAGAAAATTGGCTAGGGAGGAAGAAATAGCGAAAAAAGAAAAGAAAAAAGGTAAACAAATTGAGGTTTCATCAGAATCCTCTTGGTCCAGTGAAGAAATTGATTGTCCAGACAGTCCACAGCCCTTTGACTTTGTGCAAAATTTTCCAGAAGGTTACCAAGCCTGTTTTGAGGAGTCGCATGACAATGACCTTGATGGACAGGGGAAGGAGTTGATGGTAATTGAGGCAGAACCTTTAGCTAGTAACGACCTTGATAGGGCGGAGGAAGAATCACCAGAAGTTTCTTCGCCACAAAAGGTCTTCCCCTTTACAAAAAAGATGGTGGTTCTTCTTTGGGAGAACAATCTTTGTATTCGTCCAATCCCAAATAAAAACAAAGCTACRAGCAAAGGTACAAAATCAAACAATACAGAGAGTAGGGAGCTGAAGAATCTRTTGGCTACTTGGGAAAATGAGGCAAAGATAGCAAGGCAGAATGTAGATGAGGGCCTTTCGGTGGCTCAATGAAGCTGATCTCTTGGAATGTGAGGGGTATGGGAGCTGCCTCAAAAAGAGCTCTGATCAAGGATCTTCTTCGTAAAGAAGATCCAGACATAGTTTGTTT